TCACTTTTTACTGTACTTTTGAAGAACAATAATGTACAAATTATATTTGTTTTAATATAGCAAATATGGCGGAACCACTAGAGGAAGAACGCAGTAGATTAAAGCAAATTGGCTAATCAATGATAAGATCAGACTTCCAGGACTAGGTTTACAATTATTTACATCTAAACAAAGCCAGTTCTTACTCGTATGACTTATTCTAATCAAATGAAATATAATGTTCTCATATGCATACGATGTCCATTCATGATAAAACGGTGATATTTTAATCATTCAAATCGTGACGTTTTGTTAATTATTTTTACGGCTAAAAGATATTTATATTTCAAAGTGACTTACAGTCTTAGAAGAAGGAAATCAAGAAACGTTATTTGAATAAATTGATATGATTCTCAAATGGATCAAGGAAGGATCGCAAAATATTTGTGCTTGCATTAGCAGGATTATACCATCCAAATTAATGGTCGCGCAATAAAAATAAAATAAAATGACTTTTGTCGCCAGATGCGAAGTCTTATGGAAAATCTGTGAAAAGCCGACCAGATGAATTTAAATGAAGATAATTAAACTACCCACAAGACTATATACAAAGGCAGTCGATTGGACTTTTCCGTTTTTTTAAGGCAATATCAATATCTGTCTGGGGAGCAAATAATAATTAAGATGTCCACTGATTCATCTTGAAAAGTAAGTGTCGCCGTCGTTTCTATTAAAGTGAGTAGACTGGCGGGCCTGYAGTGATAGATACTAAGTGAACCATGTATGTTGGTGTGAAATATAGCTTCCAATATAGTACTCAAAAGCACAGTTGTACCTTCCGCGCAAAGGAGACCATTGAAAGATCAATTTCACTTGTGCCAATGTTCTTTCAGAACAAACTCTGAATGTGCTTTGTAGTTGATGTGCATTTTATGATGTTGGGTTGAAGATAGTGATTCGCAGCATTTCACAATGGAGTTTCCGAACATTTTTAAATGTTAAAATGAGTTTACAATATRAGCAAATCCCYAGTCCTTGCGATAAAGAAATKACAGGTACCTTGTTTTCATTACATTAAAATAATCAAGCAATAATCTATAGCTTGAAGCGGCTTTATACCGGKGAAATACACCATAGCTTTTCTCATGAAATCCGCCAATCAGCGAGCGTGTTAGAATTGAGMTATAATGTAAACTKCCATTAACTTTGCATAAAYGTTGCATAACATGGCAAATTCTTGTGAAATGTGTTTTGAGTATTGTTACATTTTGATCATTTGTGATTCAATGAGATCTTCTTATAGTACAAAAGAAKGTTTTGCCATGAAGTCCAAAAGGTTCCCAAACGTATGTGAGAAGCCAAAAACATGGGTTTGAAATGTATGGGATTCCTGTTTTAACTCTGTTATCGGAGTCTACGCATGCATCTTCGATCTTCGTTAAGCGAACAATTTTGCTTCGTCACAATTGTGGTTGGTTTGTGATCACTTGAAAGCTCCCATGCATTACAGAAAACGAATGAATCAAACTGCCAGCCATATTTTCAACAACCTCCTTCTTAGGCCGACATCTTGACCGAATCCTCCTCATAAATCTTACTGAACTAAGCCGCTTTCTGATTGACTAAACGAACCGTTCTTGACTGTTCATGTGCTCCTCTATCAGTCGGGTGATGAAAAAAAAAAGATAGCAGTTAAGTTCTTAGCTTGTCATTATGATTTTAATTTTGTTGTAATATGTTTTCAATTTATTTTTTAACAAAAAGTAAAAATAAATATTCTTAAAAATTCATGCCATTTTTCCTTTTGCATTCGACCTTTTAATGCATACATATTACAATTTTGATTTAAAAGTTAGCGATAGCATTCATTTCMWAWGCTTTAARAGTTTTCTCCTCGGTGATCTTTGCTGTCTCTTTGAAATCCCCTGGGAATAAACTTGATTTACTCCCTAACAGTAACGCTTTCGACGAAGGACAAACATTCAAATATATCTGATCTAGTAAGTCATAAGCCGAAACAAGTAAATATCAATGCACCACAACTACAATTGTAGGCTATTGTAAAAACCTGGAGTTTCCAGTTTCCAGTGGCGCTTTCAGTGGATATATAGCCGAGGTTACATTTGATGAATACCTAGAAAAGTTTTGAGATAATGTGTCCGTGATAACTACTCACCACATATAGGGGAGAACACACTCACCAATATTGTGTATGACATGTATTTGCATTGCATGCACGGCATACATGGCATACATACCAGTGCATAACATACATGCAATACATTACATACATATTGTATATAGCATACATGGTATGCATAGATGTGCATGGTGGTACATGGCACACATGTTTTACATGGAATACATAGTAGTACATGGCATACATCATGGTATACATGGAATACATAGTAGTACATGGCATACCTGGTAGTACATGGCATACATATATGATATACCATGTATACCATGTAAAACCATGTATTCTATGCACTACCATGTGTACCATGCACTACCATGTATGCCTTATATACCATGTACTACCATGTATATTATGTACTACCATGTATGGCATGTACTACCATGTACTACCATGTATGGCATGTATGGCATGTATGGCATGTATGGCATGTATGGCATGTATGGCATGTATGGCATGTATGGCATGTATGGCATGTATGGCATGTATGGCATGTATGGCATGTAAGTTTCTTTTAAACATGTCGAAGACAGCAGTAAAAGTCCGCTCTGACAGGCAAACAAACCCTCGTCGGCCTCTTCGATGGCAGATGATGGTACAGTAAGCAAATTACTATCTACTAGCTACTATCGGAGTTGTTTGCAAGTTCTTCATATCGCTAGAATCATTTGACTAAAGGTCCACGTGTGCTCAAACGAGTATGATTGTGTGTCCGTGTAAGTTTTGATCGAATTCCCCGTAATGATTCCTCAGAGCAGTCAAAATATTTTGAACACCAAGTGCTATCCGACATACCCACAACGTATATCGTAGATTGACTTATTATATAAATAATATGCAACAGGACTTCAGAAACGTGTGAGTGTAAACGGCCTTTCGCCTTTTGACGTTTTGACGTCACACGGCCCTTTTTTTTTAGCGCCGATGCAGAGGCAGTCAAAGCGGTCACGAAATACATTTCAAAAACCTATAAAAAAAATCAGGATTTGTTTCCAAGACGTAAAAACTATATTTTTGAGTTTGCCAAAATGGGCCATTTTAACACTTCAATTGCCCTTTAACCACAGTAGACATTAAATTTTAGTAAATCCCGGCTTTATCGAATTTCTAAATATTACCTGATCTGGACTCAGATGATATCCGTGCTTTAGTAAGATAAAGAGCAATGAGTTCTTTGGGTAACTATAAAATGATCTCAGAAGTTGGTTTTTCGTCGATACAATCTATTTAATTTTTACTCCTAGAATTCTCATTAAGTACTCGTCGAAGTGTGCCCTTTGAAGTTATGATAGATGGAGCTGGCACTCTCGATACAAACCTCACTAGCTTTTTATGTTTGACTAGAAATTGATAATTCTCGATGCGCTTGTCGGTCCACTTGAGTTTTGAACATTGTATAATGACGTCAAGAGTGTGTCAAAAAGAGGACACAGCTCTAAACCATGCGTAATAAACGTGGCCCAACCTAATGTGTCATCATACCTTGCCCTTTGCTATTTAGGTTCACATTCTTATACAAAAGGCCATGATTCTAAATTCTTCGACCTTTAAGTCTTTGCTCTTCTACAAACGAGCTGTCAATTCGTGATATTAGCTTTGTGCAGTGCAAACAATACACCACACCTTTGAGTAGTGATTATTTCTATACTACAAAATGTTTATACGACAACTTTTCTCGACCCTTTTTCTAGGTATTTCATGGCCAGAAAATCCGGACATTTGAGCCTGCAATCGCAGCGGTACTTCGCATAAATGCATAAAAACATGAATGTAAATTTTACAAAGAAATGTATGGATCAAAAAAAATATTTGAGAATAACATTTCATCTGTTTTAATTGGAAAAATTCCATAGATGGATTCGTAAAGGGAAACTATTCTTGATTCCACTGTAGGAAATCCAAATAAATCCAATATYGTTAACAGCGTCCTTTTTGACCATATATTTTCCTTTCGTCGTCTCCCTTTGGCCTTGTATCTCATGGTGAAAATTTGCGAAGAAGCGAAATTTCACCGTGGCTGATCGTGTTCCTTTACATTTCACTGATATTCCATAGATCATTTCTCAAAGTCCACATATTGAAGTAGGAACACAGCGATTTTCAGCTATTTTGAAGACGATCAACAGCGTCCATTTTGGTACTAGAAATCGTACAAAAACTAACTTGACGGTGAAATGGCTGGCGAAGACGCGTGTTTCACGCGAATAATTGGCCTCGATCTTCCATTTTCTTTTCATTTTATACGCCATGTTTGGTACCAAAAAAAAACTTAGAAACGTGGCTTTCAGACTAGGACTACTTTAATTTTGGCGGTTTTTACTGGCGCCTTGCGCGCAGTGGTAAATAGCGGGAAATACGAACGAAAGATCAAGTCTACGCTATTTAGTGTAAACAATGTCAGACCTTTTAAATTCCTTACAAATGTACAAGTATAAACAAAAGATCACAATATCAACTGATGATCATTGTTTAAAATACCCAAGGGAAACGTGTGTTCCAGCAAACAATATTATTTACACTATGAACATTCCAAACGACCACCTTACAAGGCACTAATGAACTCAAGGATCAGAGCGTGCTATCCCAATACTCGTTTGTCGATGTTTTGAACGTTTCGATTTTAGCCCAGTATTGTATTATGATAAAGGATCGTTGCACAAGAGTAGAAAATTTGATCTTCAAAAGTTCAAACCTCAAGGGAACTTGTAGAAAGCTCTATTTTGGTGGGAAAACCCGCTGACTCGTTCCGGGCTCAAATGTCCGGAATTTCTGGCCATGTAGTTGTAGATATATAGTATTAAAACAAAATTCAAGACTACAAAGGTCAGTTTCAAAGTGTTTTATTTCATTGACTTCTTAATTTCTTCGGATTCTTACAAATCAAATTGTATTCCCTATATAATTCAATAGCGTTATAATAATATCGCTTTACAATACTGAAAATCTCATCTCGATGTGTTCTGCATAATTTCTATGATCAGAAACTTAAATTCACTAGCAATGACTTTGTTGCATGTCTCTTCTGTGCTGTATATTGCATTTCTATCGTGCTTGCATTGTGTCACCAACAGATATTGAAATCACCAAATCTTTCATCTCGATACAAGTAACATGCCTGTCGTTTTTTGATGCCATCGGGTGTGGATGATCGGCGGACATTTCCCTTGTGGAACTAAAATCATTATATTGTAATTCAATCACTAATCGTTTGTAATTTTTCAATAACTGTCAATGAATAGAATAGGTTGTTGACTGAATGAACAATAATGGCAAATGATGGCTCTATATAATTTGCGATTAATTTCTGTATTGATGTAAACGATCGCTATTCTAAGCAATTTTATACCATTGATAGCGCTTGTAAGGCACATTTGCACAAAAATAAACATACCAGTCTTTTTATAATAGACCCACGCTTACGGCCAACAACTACCCGGCTGGCGCCCGCGTACGCGTCTGAACTAACTATCAAAGAAGCAAGCAAACAAAGAAGAAACACGCTCATCATTGCCGTTCCCATTGCAAATATTGCAAGTAAAATTTAAGTCAACGATAGCAGTATTTAAAGAGTTCTAGTTGCACCTGCTCGAGTGCAAAAGCAGTATACATTGATTGGCTTAGGTAGAGTTGATATAGATCAATGTTGCCCGATCTTGATAACAATTTAATTCGATACTACGGTATCGTCGGTCATTCAAGTAAGATAAGATATATCTGCATTTCCTTTGCTGGATAACCGCATAGCGTACCCTTAATAGTCTAGGTTCCTTTATAAAAACACATTTCTTTTATTATTTCGGTCTGTTTCCTAACTAATAGTAGACTTCTTCTGCTGCACTTAATAACAAATCAGTCCCTGCCCACGCTGATGAAGGAAACGCTGCTCAAATACTGAGTACCTGCTTGGAGTTAAATAATTGGAGAATAAAAAGAGAATCGGAATTTTTACCTAAAGGGTGGTTAGCTAATAATAGAAAATTCCATAGAGCTTTAGCCACAAGTGAAGGCTTTACTCGGCCACACGTTTATAGAATGCCCTTCAAAAACCGGTAATATGGTTTATTGACTTAAATTACACATGAAATAGTTCTCACCATGAACTAAATTGGTATAGACATGAGTGGTCTTAGAATTTCGAGCATTTACATTTCACCGCTTCTCAATAATTTTCAAAAAGAGGTCTGAATGTCGAAACAAGTTTTTAATTTAAGCAAAACGATGTCAAAAAATGTGTGTTTTGGACGGAGACCAGCTAACTTTTGGAACCACAGCTTCCTTGTGCAATGTTTCTGCTGGTAAATTCATTTTTGTTTCGCTTTGTGTTATTTTACTTTGTTTGTCAGTAATATCATTTTGTTTGTTAGCGCTTATTTTAACTTCGCCAATACAGCGATCAGTACAAGTCTATATCGACGATTTTGGTATTTACTTCAATAAATGCAATGTGAGAACTTGATTCGAGCCAAACTTTTTATCAAAAGGCCGTCCGACTTCCGAATTTAGCCTTATAGGAACCGAACATCCAAGCTATATCATGAGAATCGGCCCTATCAATGAGAAAACAATTATTTTTTTATGCTCAACTTATTCATTTATTTTTTCATAACTTTTATTAAAATATATCTTCTGCAATATATAATATTCCTATTCTTTACCGGTGTACCCTAGAGGTAAATAAGCAGAGAAGGATCACACCTAACAATGCAGATGCCATTGTGATGAAAGTGAGCGAGTTAAGGAAATGGCCACAGTATATAAAGAGCTCTGCCCACAACTGTTTCAAAGTCAACAGATATCGATTGGTTCTCAGTAAAAAATGCGATAGTAAAAAAAAGCTATATCAAATAAATCAATTACCCGATCTTGACGTCAATATTTTTTAATGATACTATCCTCACTTCAATTCTAGGAAGACATAATAGACTTGTGCAACTTAAAGGGGTACTTGGACGTAATGTATGGCCGTTTTTGAAAAACCTGTAATATTACGTCTTAGCCGCTGAAACTTTCTCAACATAAAGATAAATAAACAAGAAATCACTCTGTAAAGTTTCATTTCGATATTTCAATGGGAAGTATGACATATTTACGATTTAGTTTTCGTCCGCCATTATTTTCTCTACTCACGGCCAAAAAGTAAATGTGTACAGCGGACTTCCCTATGACGTCATAGGTCCAACGCATACTAATGACATCGTTTATAAACTGTATATTTACATGTATCAGCGATAGAAATTTTAGCTTTAAAAAACAAGATTTTTGCTCCCTTCGTAAATTTTAAGTGGTCCAAATCATTCCTTGAGACAAATGGCTAGTAGTAGAAGCGAAAGAGGAGCAAGAACAAGAGCAAATTCAATGCGAAGGTCGGATTCATTTGAACGAATGATAGGCTTTAGCTCATAAAGATACGATTGATAAAAGACTTTGGAGGTTGAATCCATTGGCCTTTGTACCGAGGACGAATGTACGAAGCGTTGAGAACATAAAATCGACGACTCACGGTAAGTGATTGTGGTCAACCATAAAAATGAGATCAAATAAATATTAATGTTAGTAATAAGTGAGATTAAAGATATAATTAACCTTATAGTTAAATACACTCATCAAATCATACTATTTTTATTAACCAGAAATTGTCCAAAGTTTGAAACTTACATGTGATTGTAATGTATCTTTAGTTAAGTGGTGTCAGTACATCCATACACACAATTACAATACTATCACTTCAATTATTCAGCTGCAATATTTAAAAAAACATACCTGGTGCATGTTGGAGGAACATTTGTGTTTGCTAATGTTAGTCTTTGTGTGTATATGTGCAAATGGCTTTTTTTCTCATGCTCAAGTATGCTATTCATTGGTTCATATGTGTATTTGCTTGTAGCTCATTGCTCTTGCTGTTTTAACCATGGTTGTTTTATTTCACATAATCCATTTAGTAAACAAAAGTTGTGTTTTGTTGCCATATGTACACTTAATTTTAATTTAACATTGGAGTGGTTTTCATTAACCCGTGAAATACACTTTAGCATATTACACTTTATTACGCTTTGTCTCTTTTGTTTTCTATTATATTTCTCGGCTATTACACTTTATTACACTTTGACTATTACACTTTGTTTCACGGGTTAATGAGAACCACTCTAATAGAAAACAAAAGATCAGAGACAAAGTGTAATAAAGTGAAATATGCTGAAGTGTATTTCACGGGTTAATGAAAACCACTCTAAAATGTTTAATTGTAATAGAAAAATATTTAACCACAATTCTGTGGCAATCCTTTAACAGATCCCCTCTCCATATTTGTATTTACAATGTGTTTGGCTTGGTTTGACCTGTATTGTCCTTTCTAGACTCCTTATATATATATGTTCATGAAATTGAAATGTAAAGCTGCTAATATTGTCATGTTATAAATAACAAAAACGAAGTGTATGATTTTAGTCTTATATTTCTATTCATTTGTTTATAGGAAATGCATGAAGGAAAGGCAGCATAAGATAACATCACCTGTTACAAGAAATATTTCAATTATTTACATCTAGCAAACAGATAAATTATATAATACTACATCATGTTATAGTGCAGACATTTCACTTAGTACCCCTCAAATGAAATAAAAGAATATATTTGGCCGGTGACAAATTGATAATGAACTGATCAAAATAATCAGTAATAATCATATAATAATCAATATCTATTGGATTAAATTTCATAATGATATAAGCTTTGTAAAAATCGTAAGATGAAGAATCTAAAGAATCAAGATTATATTGAAATTATTGAGAATAGTTGCTCTGTTTATTAATTTTTATTCTTCGATTATAGTTATTATTATAAGAAAAGCATGTAAGTAATGGGATCAGCTAATTCCTCATATGATTATGTGTAACTATAATAAATTTATTGATGATCGAGTTAGTCAACAAATGTCAAGCTATAAATTCTATGACTGTGTTCACTGCCTATTGTGGCTGTCTCTTCATAGCCCCAGATTGTTGGGATCAAACCCTTTTCCAATTTATGTCTTTAATATCCCCGTCAAAGTAAGAAAACTTTCGACTCCTTCGATCAAACACCAAAGAATCCGTTGAAATTGGCGCGGTGCAATCGCACATTAATCGCTTCCAMTTTTCCAAATCAGACTTGTTACTAGGTGATTTGTGCACTGATAGTCCTGTCTTGAGATTGATTATCTTTCTACAGCCCAAAACTAAGCAACGCCACAACATTTTAACGATAAAGTCTTGCTTCTAGTAAGTATTTGCCTCGTTGATTCCCTATGTGTTGGACCTATGACGTCATTGGTCCAACTAGACCCATTCTCCTGRGCCAAWTCGATGATCAGAGAAAATAATGGCGGAYGAAAACTAAATCGTAAATATGTCATACTTCCCATTGAATTATCGAAATGAAACTTTACAGAGTGATTTCTTGTTTATTTATCTTTATGTTGAGAAAGTTTCAGCGGCTAAGACGTAATATTACAGGTTTTTCAAAACGACCATACATTACGTCCAAGTACCCCTTTAATAATGTATTTAACAGTTTCGGAATATCTTGAGGTACCAAAGAGTTAAATTATATAGATAACTATCATCTTAAAATGTCACTGTAATTAAAGCAGCAATCATCACTGACAGTAGGCGCACTATGATTAGCCCACCTGTTAGAGAGGACTTCAGCAGGATATAGATTAACATAACCCTCGATATACCGTGTATTTGATATCTAGTGTTACAGTAGATACGGTATGGTATCCGATTTTGATGATAATTGATTTTGATGTTATCATCGATCTCAAGTCCAGTTTTTTTTTTCTTATTAAGCACTCAAAATACACCATTTATTATATGATGATTTTTTGAGTCCAAAGATGGTCCATTCACATTCACAATATAGATGTTCACGAAGGCTGGCTCTGATTGGTCCAAGAGGCCGTGATTTATATCGCGTGTAAATGCACTCACGCGTGCACAACCAACATAAAAGAAATAATCGTCGAGCGTTTATCGATGAAATAACGCACTGCCCGCAAAGCAGGAAATACACTTGCATTGATGTGATTTTTATCGACTCAATTTATTTCATTTTAACAATACCTACCTAATTTAAGATTGCCTAGTTTACAATACTTAATATCCTTTTTTAACTCGAAGATTGCGAAGCAATCGAAGAGTTATTGGAGGGGGACGAATCTGTCACTCACTCACTCACTCACTCACTCACTCACTCACTCACTCACTTTCCTGTAAACTTGAGCCTGCGTTACTTGTGTTCAAAACTATTTATTTATTCTCATTGTTCTCTATTATTTTTTTCATTAAGTTGCCGTTTCCGGGTTCCCTGTTCTATATTTGATTTAATTTATTTATTTTTTGGTAAAGAAAGAAATCTAAAGAAATGTCAGCTCCTCTGAGTCTTGAACTTCAGACCTGTGAATTAAGCCCCGTCTAGACRAGCAAWKWTTATGTSACMATTTTTAATTGCCCGCGGTAGATGAGCAAAATTGGACAAATTTTATGT